GTTAAAAACTTCTGGGGAATCTGCGGGTTTACAAGAAAATGGTGAAGGCGATGACCCTTGATGACAGGTTCCACCTGTTGACACCAAAGAAGATAATTCTTGGTGTCAAGTTTCTCGGATATGGTGTGAGAAAAGGTGAGAGACGGATAAGAGTGAGGGGGAGGGTTCTTGGGAGGGACAGTGGTAAAGGGTATAGCATTGATGGGCGGAGAGGACGATGGTGGTGGGGAAGAATTCATTGGAGGAGTAGACTCAGCCATAAAGGTTGCTGGATGAACAGAAAGGAGAGACGAAGCTGGGGATCGAGAAACTCTATGATACCATAATAGAGTTGTGAGAGAGAAAGATGAGGAGAGTGAGACAGAGAGAAAGCAGCGAGAGAGAAGAGAGAATATTTGATAGTAATTGTAATTTCATTAGCTGACTGAAAAATAGGTACAATATTAGTATATATAGAGCCAATGGTATATTGGTCTATATTAACAAAAAATTGATATATAAAGATATACTTAGGAGTAAAACTATACTCCAATAATTATTTAATTTTATATACTAGATTTTAAAATATAAATTAATATGCCACAAATATAATTTTTAGGTAATAAAAATTGTAAGTTACATCTATTGTATCAAAATAACATTTTGGACTAAAATAATAGTTTTAGTTACCAAGTCACAGGTTCCTGAACTTAAAAGGTGGAATTGTCATTTTCTATTATTTAGAATAGGGTTGTACCTGCTAGATACAAGCTCACAAAAAGGATAATTGCAACTTTCTTGCTCCAACTACCATTTTTCATTATTTTGACCGCTTGACCACGAAACCCACCGCTCTAGGAGCGATGGCCCTTAAAGGAGCAATAGGCAAGCAAGATGGACCTTGGAGGAGAAAGAAACTACACAACATCACTCACTTTGCCCAAAATTGGGCAATTCATAAAAAAATCGCTATTTTTTTATTCCATTTGTGCTCTTTCTTTCCTAGTTCTTCCCGAAAACCTATTTGTTCATCTTCTTGTTTCATGATTTTTCATCTCTCATGGTTCATCTGTCACACAAATTTATGTAGGAATTCAAACATACCGATTCGAAAAAGAACCGGGAATTGGTATGTACAAACCAATTCACAATTTTTCCCTGATAGCAGCGAATTATGTAACTATGATCCAAAAAAATCCCTACATAACCCTAAAAAATGTTCTTCGTGTCCCAAAATGTCCACAAATCTTGTCTCAGTACAAAAACTCACAAATGACACATCTAGTATTGTTTCTAACAATAATTGTTATGTATTCCAGGACAAGGAATTGGGGAGGATGATTGAATATGCTAGAAAAGGGAATGGCCTTTATCTTCAACTCTATCCATTACCGAAGAAAAGAAGAAGAAAAAAAGTCTCATTCATTCATGTCAAATTCTTTATTGTCAAAAAAGGGGGAAAATTACTTTTTCATCATCATCTTGGACATCCATCTTTTGAAATCATCAAAGTTATGTTTCCATCTTTGTTTTATGTAATAGAAATTGTCTTTAATGTGATGTATGTGAAATTGCAAAACACAAGCATGTACCTTTTCCATCAAGTAACAAAGAAAGTATATTTCTTTTTCACCTTGTTCATACTGATGTTTAGGGACCATCTCCTATTCCAAATGTGTCATTCAATCATGTCAAGGTCTTTATAGTCAAAAAAAGGGAAAAAAAAACACTTTTTCATTATCATCTTGGACATCCATCGTTTGAAATCATCAAAGTTATGTTTCCATCTTTGTTTTCTAGAATAAAAATTGATTGCCTTCGATGTGATGTATGTGAAATTGCAAAACACAAGCATGCACCTTTTTCCATTAAGTAACAAAGAAAGCATATTTCCTTTCACCTTGTTCATGCTAATGTTTAGGGATCATCTCCTATTCCAAATGTATTAGGGGCTATTCCAAATGTATTAGGGGCTCGGTGGTTTGTGACGTTTTTTGATGATTGTACCCGAGTTACTTGGGGTTTACCTACTTAAACACAAATTTCAAGTAAGCAATGTCTTTCAAAATTTCTTTTCAATGGTTAAAAATCAATTTGTTGTGTCCATAAAAAAACTTAGATTAGACAATGGAGAGGAGTATTTTAATCAAACCATTACTTTTTTATGCCAAAAAGAGGGAATAATTCATGAATCTTCATGTGTCCAAATACCTCAACAGAATGGAATTGCAAAACATCAAAATAGACACCTCTTAACCCAAGGATTGTTGTTTCAAGAAAATGTTCCAAAAAGTTTTTTTTTTTTTTTGGGGGGAGGGGAGGGGGCGTTTGTTCTCACATCAACATATCTTATCAGTTGTCTTCCCATTAGAATATTGGGATTTAGGATCCCTATAGATGTACTTTCCTCTATCCTAACTGGTCCACCTCTAGTAACTTCAACCAAAGGTCTTTGGGTGTGTTTCATTTTACCATGTTCTTGGTCCACATTAGGGCAAACTTGATCCTCTAGCTCTAAAGTGTGTCTTTGGTGGATATTCCTATACTCAAACGGTTATAATAAGTGTTATTATCCTCCTTCCAAGAAAGTGTTTGTATATCAGGATGTCACCTTTCATGAGGAACAAAATTATTTTACTCAACCTTATTTTCAAAGGGATAGCCTTTGGGAACTTCCCACTCTTAAGACAAATTCTAGTGATCTTACACAAGAATTAGAACAAGCATTGGCTCAAATTGAATCTAGCAAAGATGCACCAGCCAAACCTGAAAATGATACAAGGTTTGGAAAGAACCCAATTTACACAAGATGGAAGGTCATTCTTGAATCAACACTTGGCCAAGAGGCCAATCCAACTCCTTCGAATTAGGTAACAAACTCTGATATTTAATTTTACATGATATGTTTTAGCTTCAAAAAATGAAATAAAAATTCCAGAACTTGATAATGACCTTTATCTTCCAATTGCCTTTAGAAAAGGAACCAGAAAATGCACCCAAAAACCTCTTTATTCTCTCTCAAATTATCTCATTTCACAAATTTTCTGCAGACCATATAACCTTTCTTGCAAACCTAAACTCTCAATTCCCAATTTCCCATTAATGTTTTTGAGGCATTATCTGATAAACATTGGAAGCAAGCTATGGATACAGAAATGAAGGCATTGGAGAAGAACAAAACATAGAAGTTGGTTTCTTTCTCGAAAGGAATGAAGCCAGTTGGTTGTAAATGGGCATATGCAGCAAAGTATAAGGTAGATGGATCAATTGAGAGGTACAAGATGAGATTGGTTGCGAAAGGTTTCACTCGAACCTATGGGATAGATTACTCAGAAACTTTTTCTTTAGTTGCAAAGATAAATACAGTTCGAAGGCTATTATCTCATACTGCAAATTGTGGTTTGGAATTACAGCAATTTGATGTGAAAGATGCTTCTTGAATAGAGAGCTTGAGGAGGAAATTTATATGGAGGTCCCATCAGGATATGAAGTTGCTGCCAATTCTGTCTGCAGGTTAAAAAACGGCTTTATGTGGGTTGAAACAGTCCCCATGAGCATGGTTTGGAAGGTTTACTAAGGTCATGACAACCTTAGGATACAAGCAAAGCCAAGGGGACCACATTTTATTCATCAAACACTTGTCCTTATGAAAAGTAATTGTATTGTTAGTGTATGTGGATGATATTATTGTCACCGGTAATGATTGGAAAGAACAACATCTCTTAAGTCAACATCTCACATGGGAGTTCAAGAAAAACTCTGGGAAAACTGAAATATCTTTTGGTAATTGAAATGTCTCACTCTAAGAAAGGCATTTTCATATCTCAACAGAAATATGTCACAAATTTACTCAAGGAGACAGACATGGCAGCTTGTAAACCTATGAGTAGTCCCATTACCATAGATTCAAATCTCAAATTGGGAAATGCAGATGATAGTGTTGCAGTTGTTAAGGAGATGGATCAATGTTTGGTTGGAAAAATTAATTTACTTGTCTCACACAAGGCCAGGTATTGCATTTGCTGTAAGTTTGGTCAACCAATTTATGCATTGTCCAAGAGAAGTTCACTTGCATGCCACATACAGAATTTTACAGCCAATTTATATAAAATAATTGGGAATATAGGTCTTGAAGCCTACATTGATATTGACTATGTAGGGTCAGTAACTATTAGGAGTTTGGATGTTGCACCTTTCTTTGGGGGAACTTGGTAACGTGAAGAAGTAATTTAATGCTGAAGCTGAATTTCGGGCTATAGCACAAGGTATATGAGAATTGCTTTGGTTGAAAATTATCCTAGAAGACTTGAAGATTAAATGGGATGGACCTATGAAACTCTATTGTGATAATAAGTTAGTAATTAGCATAGCTCGTAATCTTGTTTAGCATGATCAAACCAAACACATTGAAGTGGATAGGCATTTTATCAAGGAAAAGTTTGATAGTGGTTTGATTTGTACTCCATATGTACCTTCACAAAGATAACTTGCAGATATTCATCTAAAGGCTTGCGCTGTTCAGATTTTGAGAAAATAATATGTAAGCTAGGAATGGAAAAACATTTATTCTCCGACTTGAGGGGGAGTGTTGGAAATAGGAGTAATGATTGTTACTCTTCCAAGTATATTTAGTCATAGTGTTTAGCTGAGTTCAATGTATCTTAGGAAGTTGTGATACTTTTAATTGTTTTCTTGAAAATAGTTATCATTTGTTGTGTTTGCAACCATTATTATTATAAATAGATCAACTGTTGAGTGTGACTCACTCAAGCATATTCAGAAAATGAGATCTTTGTTTCTCTCTTTTAACAGTTTTAGTAGAAGAGGCCAACTTCTTGTGGCAATGTGCAATTTTGGTGCTTAAGCTTGGAGCATAACTACTCGTTAATGAGGTTTTCATAGCATGAAAATTGATTTGGGATATCATTCGACATTCCAATTTAAAATAAAATGCACTGTATCCAAAAAAAATATTCCTGATGTTTCCAAATTTTGTGAATACACAATTGAATGAAATGAACCTGAAGCATGAGCTCCTCCTTTGATGTAAAGGGAGACCAATCAAGAATTGTTTTCAAGTTGGCTGACCATTCATCCTGTGAGCTATAAATAATTGGCTCAGCCCAATTCCCAGATATGTCAAAATCTACCTGGAAGGCAAAGGAAACTGAATAAAAATATGAAAGCAGAAAATAATTGCTGCTACATATTTAAACATTGGAGGAAGGAAATATCACCATTGGAACAACAACATCATCTTGCCCAGTTTTCCGCAGAAAGGTATAGGATAGTAAACCCACACTTTGTGTTGCCCGGCTGAAACATTAGATGTTAAGAACTTAAAAGAATAAAATCCTATCCACAACTAAGAGATACAAATTTAATTCCAGAAAATGAAAAACTTTATATATAAAACCCAAAAAGCAAAAGGCAGAAAATATGCAGCAAAGAATAATACTAGCACACTACTCGTAACACAGCCATGGGAAACATGGAAAACTAAAAGAGGCATTTAAAAAGACAACATGTTGAAATTTGAATTGAAGACAAAATGGAAAAAGAGAAATTTTCAAATTTTTGTTTCTAAAAGCCAATTTTTCTCTACCTTCCCTAGTTACTTTTTCTTTAACCAAACAAAAGAAAATATATTGTTAGCCATTTTTCTCTCTTCTCTATTTTCTTTCCTCTCATCCAAACATATTATTAGAGTAGTTAGATCATTAGAGGATATTTCAAGTACATAAATAGAGGAAACTAAAGATGGAAGGGGTATTCGAAGAAATAGAAAACTTAAAGAATAGGGAATGTAACACCCCAATTTTTATAAAATTATATTAATAATACGTAGTATTTATTTTAGTGTTTTAATGTGTTTATTAGAAGGATTTTTAATATTATTTAGTTATTTGATATGAACTTTATTTTTATATATAACATGCTATTTTTACTAAAACGGAGAAGTATATTTTATATTATTTATCTATTTTATGTGAGCTCTATTTTAATATAAAAATGATTTTTAATTAATATTTGGATTATTTTCTATAAGACTTTTTATGATAACATGTTTTATCAAGAATTATGTTTATGTTATTTATTAAAAGGAGGAAATATGTTTAATTATTTTATGAGAAGGGAAGGAGGGACGTAGTGGTCTTTTGCTAAATATTATTATTATTATTATTATTATTATTCTTTATTTATTTTGAAGAAAGGAGGTGGTCAAGAGTTATTTTCACGCTTCTCATTTTCTCTTTTTTTTCTACGCGTTGTGCTCTGAAGACTCAAGAGAACCATGAGAAGGAGGTCACCAAGAAACCGTACGCGCTTCGTCTTCTACTCATCAAGGTAAGGGGGGAGTGAGAAACCTCACTCGGGGGTGTGGGAATAACTGTTGGGTAGCAGGATTGGCCCCCAATCCCTTGCTTGATGTATGCCTATAGGAACAGGCACTTTGAAAGTTTTCTGTTTTGCTTTCTAATTGTTTTTCTGAGTTTCTTGTGTGATTCTGAGTGTAAATATGCGTTCAATTTCGAGAATAGATAAGTTTTGATATGAATTAGAGTGCTCTTTCAGTTCCTACGAGAAACCTATGAAAAACAGGTAAATTTTGAATGTTTTTTGCTTTGGCTTTTGAATTTTCTATTGTGTTCCTTGATGATTACTGAGTATGAATGTATGTTAAATTTTGAGTTTGAATATGTTTTGATAGGGATTAGAGCGCTCTATGGGTTTCTACGGGAAACCCTACGAGAAATAGGCAAAATATGAATGTTTTCTGTTTTAATGTTTGAGTTTTCTGTTGTGTTCCTTAATGTTTGTTGAGTGTGAATGTGTTTAATTTTGAAAATAGAAAGTTTTAAGTCATGTTTGAAGGTGCTAATGGTGTGAGAATTGTCTTATTATGGTGTTGATGCAAGTGGTGTAATTTTATGAGCATGATGAAGACAAGAATCTCCAAATGATTTATGAGTATGACTATGAGAAATGTGAAATGTGAACAAGTGACATGAGACATGATGTGATATGATAAGTGAAATGTTGAATCCATGAGTTTGTGAATGTGTGACATACATCATATACATTTATGTGACGGGGTACGATATGGAGTACACCGTTAGGGAAGGCCCTCCAAGTGTGAAACATCTTGGAGGAGTCCTAGGGGATAGCGCGGTTTGGAAGGTCGAATTCTGCCCGTTTGTGTGCATGGGACGTATCTTACGCGGCTTTGCTATCTCGACGAGACCCTAGCAGTACATCCTTCTATTTGAGAATGTGCGGTTGAACCGGCATGTACTCCTAGACTACTCCAGGTATGTTACTTTAGCAGCATACCACGTGATATGTGATTATGAGATACGTGACTGACGTCACATGCATGCATTTATAAGTCGAGTCCATGACATCATTACATGATAAATGAATATGCATGTGATATTAATTGTGTATGTGTATTGTTTATATTGTGTTTGTGACTTGTATTATGTTTGTTGTGTGTGTATTGTCTAACATTTATTTCTGCACTTGAACTTGAGTGATATGTTTCTCACTCCCCTGTTGCTCTTTATATGTGTTTAAATTGTGTTGCAAGTGACCATCAACATGAGGATGTTGGTGATGAGGCTTAAACCTTAGTTGGGCGTACTCTGATAAGATATGTGACATCGGGCATAACTAGGCTTAGTTTAGGACTTCATTATTGTTATTTTGTTTTGGAAAAACCCATGTTTCATTTTCTTGTAAATTCCGCATTTGACCATGATTTACGTTTACGAATGTGAATTCTCTACTCTTATGTCAGTGGAATCATTGTTTTAATTCAAAACATTTTATTTACTCCGAGAATATGTTTTATAATTATTGTATATGTATGTTGGGGTAGAGGGTGTCACAGGAAAACCCTTGGAGGAGAATTCTTTCTCCCTTTTTCAATTGTTCAATAAAATTGTTCATTTCCCCGTCAATTTCCCATTTCTCTTTCCTAGGTTAATAATAGGAATTATGTGTGATAAATCTAACAAGTGGCAACAGGCTATAGGGGACAGGGGCATGGGTAGCATTAGGGTGGAGGGAATAAGATGGATTGCAAAGAGTTGGACTAACGGAGGGTACAAAATCTATGAAGGGCATTTTGGGAGGCTTATACCTTGGGGTAAGGGTAGCCATCTATGCTTTTCTTGGTCTATTTTTATTTCCATTTTCATTTGTTATTTCTTCCTGTTATTTGTTAGTGAAATTACAACAGTGCTCTATTCTTTCTATAATTCCAATGTGCTAACATGATGTATCAAATAATGGCACAATGAATTGAAAGTTGCACTAGTTCTTATTAAGCCTCTATGCATGATACACTAGTTGGTTTCCATCTTTGAAAAGATTAGGCTCTAAGGTCTAAAAATCATACTACGTGAATCTTTCACCAACAGTCACCACTCACCACACATTAAGAAACTTTTCATTCTATTTAGTATCCATCCTCTCTATAACATTAGGATACAAAACAATGTACAATTGCAGCTTTAACAATGTACAATTCGATCATGCTCAATTGTCCCTAATTGTCGGTCCTCGCTGTGTGACATCTTTGGTGGCCATCCGCTACTGTCGTCGGCCATCCCTCGTCTTGCTAGTCACCAGAGACCTAGTGGATCAAGGTCACCTATTTCAATGCAACCCAACCCTGTCAAGATCGGAGGCTAAATCCTCCAAACAAGCCTTCATGTGCCACCTTTACGCACTACCTTGTTTGGCACATATTGTTCACACGCCACTCTCCAATCACCGAAACTTCGTCGTGCCACCTCTATTGCAGTTGTCAACGCCTTCTGAGTTCATCTTGGGCCTCAATTAGGTTTTTAAAGATTGTTTGGATCATGGGCCTACTGTTCTCTTCTCCGTGAGTCTCATTTTTCGCCAGTTACAGCAAGATTACAACTTTTGTCCCTAGTTTCTCAATCTATGGAGAATAAGGTCCAGGACAATAGACTATGGTGCTTTTGATCATATATCTGGTGATGACTCCTTATTTTGTTCTATTTCTTCATCTAAAATCCTCACTTCATCTCCTTAGCCAATGGATCCAAAGCTGTCTCCCAAGGAGTTGGCCAAGTTTCTCTTACAACCTCCTTAAATCTAGTAGACTCTATCTTTTTTGTTTCAAAGTTTTCTTTTAATTTAATCTCCATAAGTCAATCAACCAAATCATTAAATTGCTCAATAACCTTTGATGCAACTAAAATATCTCAGCTAAAAAGACACATTTAGTCATTTTTAGACTAAAGATCTTGGCTGCCTAAAATGCTTTCTAGTCATTGAAGTTGCACAATCAAAGGAGGGCATTGTGATTTCCCAAAAGAAATATGCCCTAGACATCTTGGAGGAAACAGGCATGACTAATTGTAGGCCCATTAACAGGCCTATGGATCCTTATCAGAAACTGATAGCTAATCAAGGTGAACCATTTGTAGATCCAAAGAAATATAAGAAATTGGTTGGTAAACTTACGATTACAAGACTTGATCTTTCTATTGCAGTAGGGATTGTTAGTCAATTTATGCAAGCCCCTCACATTGATCATTGGAATGTTGTTATACGTATTCTTAGATACATCAAAAAGGCTCCAGGTGAAGGTTTATTATACGAGGACAAAGGAGACAGCCAAAGAAGTTGTTGTCTTTAATTCAGTGTTTCATGACAGGACTAAACATATAGAGGCGAATTGTCATTTTATTAGAGAGAAGTTGTAGTTAAAGGAAGTTGTCACTGAATTTGTCAATTCTAGTGAATAAGTTGCTGATATCATGACTAAATCCTTGAGGGGGAGTGTTAGATTATATATTGATAGATTTATGTATTTTGTATTTTATATTCTTTTCTCTGTATAAGATTGTTCCTTCTTTTGTATTCTCTCATAAATATAATATTCAGGAATGGAGGTGTTAGACACACCCAAATATTTTTCATTCAAACTTTCAACTTAAGGTGGGACAAACAAATTTAAGAAAAAAGTCTTACATATAGGGACAAAGGGAGTATGTACAAGGAATCATCTAAAATTGACACAAATCATGTCAAACATGGCCTTCAGCACATAGGAGTAAAAATACTAGCTAATTAGTAATGCAGACCTTCAAACACTTGTTTTGTCATCACTGTACTAGTTCACCATGGTACCATTGCGCCCACACATAATTTCCCATATAGATCAAATGAATAATTAACAACCAAAGGATAAAGCAAGATAGATCAAATCAATAAGATAAAAACAAAAAAAAATAGAAAACTTAAGATAATTAAAATTCAAACACACAAACCAATATTAAAATATGTACCTCGAACGCATTGCCCGACTGAAAACAATAACATCAGCACCAAGTCTCATGGTACTAGTCTTGAATCCATTGCCATCTTAAATAAAACAAGATGTTACTTAGAAAGAAACAAGTTGCATCACAACATACCACATTCACGAAAAAGGCTTGATTATACTTTTGGCTCTTTTAATTTGGAATTTGTATGACTTTGGTCTCCCAACTTTTTTCTGAGTCAATTAAGTACCTCTACTTTTAAAATCAAACAATTTTGGTCCATCTATCAATTTTCTTCTATCTAAAACCCTCAAATTTACATTTTCTATCCAGATAGTTATGGGTTTACAATAGGTTTAAGATACGAAATAATTTAAGAGGTTGAGTATGAAATTTAGTGGAAATTTGTTAAAATTTAAAGAATTTTGTAGGATGTAAGAAGGTTTGAAGAGGGGAAATTTTGATTTTTTTTATTGCATTATGGGTTAAATTTTATGGTTTAGTCAGTGATTTTTGAGTAGAAAAAGGTTTAAACCCTTTAACTCAATTTGATTTGTGAAGATCTCTAGAAGAAAATAAGAATTTGAGGGGGTTAGATAAAAGAAAATCGACAAAGGGATCAAAGTTGCTTGATTTTAAAAATAGAGGGTGTTAGGATCCAGTTGCAAGGTATGAGACTTGAGTCCCACATCAGAAGTATGGGAGTCTAATGTGGGGTATATAAGGCTTTGGGCTCTCCAACTACAATAGTTAGCTTTAGTGGTGTGGTTCTCCCAAGGTTCTTATTAGAGGGGCTTAATTGGCTCAAAAAAATTGGGGACAAAAATCAGTCCAAACTAAAGGGACTAAAATTGCAATCAAACCCAAAAAAAAAAAAATGAAAGTAAATGCTTCATAGAATAAGGCAACCATAATAGGAAGAAAACATCATAACACATTTATATCTTCTACGTTTTGTAGTCATAATTAAATTGGCTTTTATGTTTTAAGAGAGGAAAAGAGCGAAATGTGTTTTGTGCCCGTGTAAATACTTCTATCATTATTCTCATCCTAAAATGCATACTATAAACTTAATTTCTGACATGTAATTGACTGGTTCAGCAACCTACAGATTGAACTAAAGGATAGAGAAGAAGAAAAGAACAAAAAAAACATGTAAAGATACAACTAAAATATAACTTGTTATCTCTCCAAAAACATGTATCTTTGAGAGTTTGTGGTTCTTTTTTTTTCATTTTCAATTGACACTCATCATTGCAAAATGCCAACTTGTTTTCATATTTTATTTTGTTTCCTTCATAAAATCATGAAAATGTAAAATGAAATAAAAACAAGCCAAAGTTTTGGTGATCATTAGTGAAAATATATCAACTAAAAATTAAACTGAAAACAAATTGAGCACCTATTGAAAAATATAAATATATATATGCAAATGTTAACATCAGTAGAGTTCTTTTAAGTAACATGCAGAAAAAGAAAGGAATAAAATAAATTCAGTTACACTGTCCAATTGTTGTCTTTGATTTCTTTGATGAATAACCCAAGCTCATGCATTTCCGAATTGAGTTAGGATCCATTCCACCACCATCATCTGCGTAGGAAACCAATGCTCCTGTAAGCCTTTGGTGCCAATAACTAACATATCAAACCAAAGAAATTACTATAAAAGTAAACATTATGCATATTTGGAATTGGACAGCACACCTAGGAAACATAATGCTGGTGAATTATCCTTCTTGATATCAAGTTTATCGACCTTCACAAAAGTTGCACCATTTTGAATCTAAAAGTATAAAGGAAAATTCACTATTCAGTAATAGTCATGCTCTATAAAAACAATTCTCAAATAGCTTATCGAAAGATACATCACATTGGCAGGCCTTAGTTGGAGATAAGTTTTGCAAGCATGCAAGTGATTTTCCCATTTTTGGACAAGTTTTGTTTTTCAGTTCTCTGTAAAGCCATATATTCAGTTTGCATAGCAGTAAACCAGTTTGTGTCAAATAGCGCATGTTTGACTGTTCGAAATTCTGTGTGAGAAAGTAACAGACTAGGATGAATTAGGGGGATGATTATTCCAGCTTTGGAACAAGTTTGCATGGAATGAGTGTTTAGTGTTTACAGGTTGACTGGGAGGAACTATTTGGGACAAGGTAGTGTTTGTAGGGAACAGAGAAGCATTAGATGAGGTGGATGGGGAAGAGGGAGCAGTGATCTGTGAGATATGTTGAGGTTGAGGGGAGTTGGAAGATATTAAGGGAATAGTGGCAGGAAAGGAAGGCTATATAGTAGGTGAGGGTTGAGGAGATGTAGAGAGAAAACGTTCAAAATAAGGGAAGCGATTTCATTGAATATGACATCTTTAAATATGAAAAATTTTCCAGTAAGACATCAGCATCTGTATCCTTTATGTGATGTAGAGTAACCAAGAAATATGCACTCATGGGAGCAGAAGTCAAGCTAATGAAAATTATAGGGATGAACTAACGAAAAACAGGCACATCCAAAAGTCTTCAGAAAATGCTAGTCAGGATCAGTTTTGAATAGAACTTTGTAGGGAACAGAAAATTTTAAGGGTACCGTAGGAATCCAGTTGATAAGTTAAACGGCAGTTAGAAAAGCATGATCCCAGAATTTTAAGGGAAGAGTTGTATGAATTAATAAATTAAGACCGAGTTTGTTAGACTGCAGGAACCACATGATTCAAATAGGATTTTGAAAGTGTATTATAGGAAAAAGGGTAAAAATAGGAATTAAACATATTTTATCCTTTGGCCTATTAGTTAGGATTTCGGTAGAAGAGTTAGTTTTCTGTTGTAAGAGATAAGGGTGGATTATTAGTTTGTAACGGAAGGGGCTTGCACCAACATTCTTTAAATAGGGCCTCTGTGTAGGAAGAGGGAAGGATTCATTTTTTTTTAGATACAAACTGGACAGATTCCAGTGTGAAAAGAGAATCTCCTTTGTGTACTTGTCTTCTTTTTCTGAAAATTAACAAAATCTAGAAGGAACAAAACCTTGTTGCTTTTGAACATTACAGAAATCCTAACAATTGGTCCGACCTGCCGTTTTCCTCCTTATCACGATGGAGCAACGCCTGCTGAAAGTGGAAAATACGACTACCAATCATGGAATCAAACTAGTAGAACTACAAAAAGATGTCGCGTACATCAAAGCAAACATGCCTGATCTAACCCAACTCCACAGCCTAATCATGGAATGTCTCACCAAGAAAACACCAAGCAATGATGATGGGCACTCTAGCACCACCAAAACGGGTTCCAGCGAAGACAAGAGAGAAGATGAGGACATGACAACACATTCTTGTAAATTTTTATTTTTAATATTTCAATGACATTAAATATAGACTTAAAACTATTTGTAATATAATTTTTTTAATTTCTTAAAAAAATTATAAATATCCATAAATATCCGTGGGTATTCAAGAAATTCATAGATACTCGCTTAATGGATACCCGCGCGGATATGGGGTGGGGATGAGGACAATTTTCATCTAGCAGGACAGGGGCGGATTTACTATTACCCACCTCAATGGGGCCCCATTGCCATCCCTAAAGGTAACGCATGACATTGGTTCCAAGTTTGGCATGACAAGGCCAAGAACCCATCTTGGGAAGATCTTTCGAGAGCCTTGATGGAGCGATATGGTGAGAATGGGTGGCACACTATGTATGAAAAACTAGCAGCCTTGCAACAGACAGGCAGTGTCGACGATTATGTCCAAGAATTTGAATTATTGGTTGCTCAAGCCAAACCCAATTCTAAGGAACAGGTCTTGGGGTATTTCTTGGTTGGATTACGTACTGACATTATAGGCTAGGCGCGCCCCCATGATCCGAAAAAGCTAAACCGCGCTCTAGAGATTGCGCATGACATAGAAGAAGCCATGAAAAAGGTTCGCAATTATGGTAATTCATAAGGAAGAAATTCTAATTCGGGATTCAGATATCAAGGGAACAACGAGATCGTTTTGCAAATAGAAACCACAGGCAACATCACAACGACCAGTGGCAACAATCACGAACCACAGGGCAAAAATTGTCCCAATTCTACCCCCAACAAGACCAAGACAAAGGGGAAATTCCTCCCAACCTACTAGAAATTGTGGAACTAGAAGCCTACCCTACCATGAATATATTAGACGACAAGAAGAGAATAAATGTTTTCGTTGCAGGCTAGCATTTGCTCCAGCACACCGCTGCCCAAAGAAGAATCTGCAGGTCATTATCTTGGCAAATGCCAAGAGTGTTGATTCAGAAAGTCCCAATGTTGAAGACGAGGACACAGTTAACACGGATTGCAACTAGTTGGACTTGTCCATGTGCTCAGCAAGAGGACTAACCACCCCACAAACCATGAAACTCAAAGGCCAATTGCACAATCAAGACATTTTTCTATTAATAGACAGTGGCGCCAGCCATAATTTCATATCGTAGAGGATTGTTGAAGAATTAAGCCTCAAAGTGGATCAAACAAAACCATCCTTTGTGAGGCTAGGGGATGGGAACCGCAATCAAACTCACAATAGTTGCAACAATGTGCAAATCAGAATGGGCGATTACACCATGGCAGGAGAATTTTTTATCTTTGATCTCGAAGGAGTTGATATCATTCTAGAGGTGGCCTGGTTGATGACTTTAGGGGAGGTTAAAGTAAATTGGAGGAACATGCAAATGAACTTTGTGCACCAAGGGCGACCTGTAACCATTCAGGGCAACCCAAGCCTATCCAAAGAGATGATCATCGCCAAAGCCTTGAGGAAATTGGACCAACGAGCTATAAAGTCCATGGCCATGCTATGGATAAGGGAGAAAAACCGTGACATACCCCAACAACTAACCCCTAACCAAGAAGAACAGTTGTAGCAAGCAAGGTTGTCAATCTCGAGAGTTTACGTAATCTCGTGGAGGCTCCGTAAACTCATATCGTAAACTTGTAAGAGATTACTTAATAAAAAAAATTATAAAAATAATTAAAAATAACATAATAATTAAACATTTACACTCTATATTAAAGAGTAAAATAGAAAATTACATTAATAATAAAATAATTTATTAAATATAACAAGATTACAGATACCAGGATTGCACTATTCTAATTTATTTATATATATAAATATTAAATAATTTATAATACAAATAATTAATTATATACATATAAAAAATAGAAACATAACTTAATTTATACATTACATATTTTTAATAATAAAAATTTATAGAGTTAAACAAAATAAAAAAAATTAAGAAAATAAAATATTTAAGGTCTTATATTAAATTTTTTATTAATTAAAATATTATCTAAATTATAATAATAATAATCAATAATTAATAATAAAGAGAAGTTACTTTCTAAAAAAAATAGTGAAGTAAAAACCCCCTTAACCAAATCAAAAGATAAAATAAAACTTGGCCCATTTGGCCCAACTTTTCTAACCCTAATTATTTTTCCTGCAACCTTTCTAATCATGAGACTCAAGTCGTCGTTGCCGTTGCCTTCCCTCTTAGAAGAAGACAGATCTACAGATGTTGGAGAAGACAGAGCCCCCGTCAGAGAAGACGGAGCCGCTGTCAAAGAGGACAGATCGATGGAGATCTGCCAGAGAAGACAGATCAGTGGAGATCCGTCGAAAAAAGAAGAGAAGATTCGTCGCCCACCTGCGATCGCGTTGCCACACTCAACCACTTTCGCAGCCGCTCCGACAGCTCCTTTAAAGTGCTCTGCAACAAACTTTTTGTAGCAGCATGGAGCCGCTCCGCTCCGATGCGCCGCGATTGCAATCGCGACAACCGCTATTGACTACCATGTTTCAGCCCTAACCCAAAAAATGTGATCTCTTAAACTCGGGACTGATCTCGCGATATTACACGAGATTGTACGAGATCACCGAGATTACTCCGAGATTACTCAAAAACGAGTTTACTCCCGAGTTATACAAGTAAGCTATCCTAATTCCTAATCTCGTACGAGTTATCACTAGAGATTGACAATCATGGTAGTAAGTCCTAACAAAATTCACTCGGTTTTTTTCCAAACCACAAGGACTACCACCACACAGAAACATTGACCATAGGATCCCCATCAAAGTCGGGATGAACCCTATCAATGTGAGACCTTATAGATACCCTTACCTACAGAAAAACGAAATAGAGACGCAAGTGAATGAAATGTTGGCAGCTGGAATAATCATGCCAAGCAACAACCCATATTCGAGTCCTATCATTTTAGTGAAAAAGAAGGACAGAAGCTGGAGATTTTGTGTAGATGTTAGAATCTGTTTTATTAGAATCTGTTTTATTAGTTGTGTTCACCGATAAACAAATCAATGAGACTGAAATTTATCAATTCTTAACTCTCTCTGCATGGAATTCATCTAGAGCATTATTCCTTCCTTGTAAATAAATAAATAAGAATAAAAAGGGAAATTGACCTATGCACAATAATTATGGAAAGTAAGACGTTGGTAATCAAGCTCGCACTTTGAAGTGGGGCATGTTTAAAAGGTTAAACCAATTACAATCCAAGTGGGTAA